TGTACGTCGTTTGGCGCGATCTTTTCGCCACCGACGTGTCAAAACACGTCAGACCAACCGTATTTCAGAAAGGGCAACTCGTCCGAAGCTTCAGAACAGTGAATTTTTCCTATCAGTATGTGATCGTTAGGAGACCACCTGGTTCGAAACCATGAACACTGAAGCCAACATGCACGGCTTCAGTTTTCATGAAGGCTGTCAAGAACTAAACCCTATAATTCAATGATCTGGAAGGGATATCCAATTTGGTAGACCTGTCATGACGCGTCAACGGCAATGTGATCGCGCCAAACGGCCGCCTCCCCTAAAACTTCCTATCGCGGAGATGGAGTGGGCGCGGCTGCGTACTTCACTTGAACGTGGTGGCGGCGGTAGTTATGGTGTGATATTGCAGTTTTTGGAGAATTGTGATCATGTCTTTGTTCATTACGAGAGAATATAACCGTTGTCTCGAAAGGAAATACCCTCAGAAAAACACGTTCAACATTATGTCCTATTTAAGTACGCGGTGATATAAACTGTAACTTCTCTGATTGAGACAGAATCTTTTTGTCGAGTACTGTTGAAAATGGCACGAAACTGTTACATGGAAAAAGAAATCACCTTTGAAAGAGATCAGCATGAACGCGAGTGATACCGTGACGGATTAGTTGTCGCACAGCTTCGTGGCACAGGATATATTGATCCTCAAACGGTATTGTGTAAATTATCGTCTATATGTGCTTTGACAACTTAATCCTATGTGAAAGGAAGGTGCACAAGTTCATATTCAACACTGGTTATAACAGCACAACATAACATGACGATCGTTCAAAGTAAAAGTGAAGACCGTGTAAAGCTCTCTTTCAACAAATAACGAGGAACGATCCCAATTCTCCATCACCCTGATTGCGGGCAGCTGTCAGTTTTCTGGTAGACTTGCACATAAGAGAAGGGCGACATTCACGCGCATACACAGTCGTGCAGAAGTTGGGCAGCAGAAAAGGAAAAATAATCCATGAGACCATATTGCGATGAGGGTACTAGTAGTACTGGTACATCACTTTCTGTCCAGCTCTACAGATCATGGAACTCGAGGCTCTGGAATGAATGAGTGAAGCAGTTATCCCTCGCACCGATTGGAGCGTTATTTCCCACTCGCGGCTCCGCCGTACGAGTTCATCTGCGAGGCAGAGTGGATGCGCGGCACCGCTGAGATGACAGCGACACAACGGGCATTTCGGCGACGGAGGGGGTTCATTGTGCACTTTTGCTACTTCCCATCGACAAGTCGACCATCTAGAGAACCTTTTCTTGAACTGGCAGGTTTTGTCATGGTGACTCTACAAGCTTGTTGCAGCTTCATAAGATTTTCGGCTGCACCAGAGTGAGACTTGTAAACCAGAACTAGTCATGCAGCGAAAGTGCAAAAAGCCCCACCGTCGCCGACCTGCGCCCGACACCGCATTTGGACTCTATCGTCCAGGTTAACTCGTCTGCGATAGCGCGACTAGGGAGTAGCGCTCCAAACCCGGGATGGATGCGGCCCACGTTCAGCAATTGCAAATTCACCCAGCTCGGAATCCATTTCATCTCTTTTAAGATGGAAGCGCATAAGGGGCCTGCTTTCAACCATATACATTCCTGGTGCTCCACAAGTTGGGTGAAACACTGGCTTAAGATGTCATGGTAGGTGTCAGAGGTCCTTTGTACGGACTGAAGCATGACGTACCACTGTTTGGACGAGTTTCTCTCGTTGTCTTCGCATGTGAATCAGATGGCCCATGAGATTCAACTTCCGGAAGGTGATCAAGTGACGCCGCATGCTGTCGATCAAAATATAAGAACCTGATCGACCAACACCAGCGCTGAAAGTACTTCGTGATCAAAACAGCGAGAGCAGCTTTTCCTGGTACTCATTTTACCTGCAGTGAACAACAATTGGTCCTGTAGAGTGGATTTCGGCTACGTAGTGCATGAAAGTAAGCAGCGGAAATACTGTATCTGGTACTCCATGGTCGGGCCAACCTTTGAAGTGCAACTGGTGCACCCGTCGCTCAGTCTAAAATCGTAAGTTGGATAACAGCGCAAAATAGTACGAAGATCACCGTGTTGGCTTACCGGCGGTACACACTTAGCTATTCGTAAAGTAAAAATTCTATGGACAAAGTGTGTATTGGAGACCTCGCTGACGAGACCAATTTGGTAAGATCCGTGAGTTTGGGCAGAATTTGTCGAGCTTGGCCAATATTGATCGCATTTCCGCTAAAACTAGAGGATCGATTTCAACAAATCCATACCAAACTATGGCTCATTACCCTTCCGTCCTCGATCATGTTGGTAATTACAACAATGATGTTACATCGCTCTTGCCAAATCATCTCCCAGAAGTCAGCGAAGGTTGATGGAAGCGGTGCCTGCGTTGCTATGTAGGCGTTTCGTTTTTCACATGACTGGAAATCAAGGGATTAAGGATTTTATCTCCTGGTATTGATTTCTTTTTGAGTTACACTGCATTTAACTTTCGTTCAGAATCATCCAGATGTTCGATAGGCTCTTTAACGACTCAGAGAGTCTGGAGCCCTTACCGGGCAATCATTCCAAGAGGAATTTCGACACATCAAGCCCTATGACCATCCATCCAAAACTTAAGCTGCGTTCATGCTCTGCGGCGGCGTCTAACAGCATCTAACAGCGTCCACTAGCGCTTCGAGCGTACGGCAGCGTAAGCGATAGTATAGATATCGGCTGGCGTCTGCGTTCGCCAGCGTCTACCAGCGCTAGGCAACGTCTACCAGCGTCCGAGAGAGGAGATTGTGGTGCAATTGGATGGTATCAGAGACCTGGTAGAGTATGGGGAGACAGAGGGGGCAGACGGCTGGTGGAGAGTATGGCGCGATAGGAAGGTCGTCTGTCTGCTATTCTCCATAATCTCCTCTCCCGGACTTTCATGCACATTGGCAGACGCTGGTAGACCCTAGAGCGCTACCTATATTTCCCATGCCTTCGAGATGCTGGTGGACGCTAGTTGACGCTGGCGAACGCTGGGAGACGCTGATAGAAGCTGGCAGACGCCAGATGCTTTAATCGCTGACGCTGCTGGACGCTCGGAACGCTAGTGGACGCTGATGGACGCTGGTAAACGCTGGTGGGTGCCGCCGTAAAGTATGAAGAAGCCTTAGAACTCTCTCAGGAACCTTTTGGCAGCACGGTAGGTCACGATATGGCAAAACTTCGATAAACAAGACTGCAGCTTTAGCTCATAGTCTTCCGCTCCCATATCCAGTGCAAGCCGAACAGTCTTGGTATCTTTGTAGGAGGAGAGATATAACCGACTTGACTACAGAGTAGCTCAGTAATCCGTTGCAGTGCTAGAGTGCGCACTACATAGAATTTTCAGTGATTGGTAATGAAATCTCGTGGCGCTAATTCTACAGGAATTAATGTCGAATATATGGCCCGAGTCTAGTTCAAAATCTTTTTTTTACCCAAAATTTATAGAAGAGTTTGTCCCTCGTTCACACCCTAACTGGCCCCAGTTTACTAACGGGCGACGTGCAAATCTCCCGAGAGTCGTCACCATTCCTACCTAATCAAATTCATTCGTGTATTCGCCCATATCCGGCACCACCTCAATTATTATAAATTACCTCGTTGGTTGAGTTAGGCCGATAGCTCATGGGATAATCCCTATCCTTCATCAATTTCTGAACGGAACCTTCTGAATGTTGTCGTGTAATTAACGCCTAATTTGGGGTGTCATTATGTATAGTACTGCCGCTTCGGTGTAAAGCATGAAAACCTAATCCAAAATGCAGTAATTCTTCTGGAGCGATATGGTAGTCGCCTAGCAGAATGTATTTTCACTTAGAGCCTCAAATAGGTCTTTTTCCCTAGAGGGCTAGCGACTCACGTCAATATAGTTTGCGTTGATGTAATCCGAGCCGCCATTGCTAGACGAGTTAATGCGAACGCGAGACGATTCGATAGCGCCGATGTTCAAATACCTGCCATGAGTCCACAATTTATAAAATATCTTCAGATGAATAACCAAGGGCTTTATATTGGCTGCCCACCTGTTTTTATCCAAGTTCTTCTCAAGGACGTCCGGTTCCGTACAATCACATGACGTCATCTGCTCCACTTGCTGCAAATACCATTTTGATCTTGATGGACCCGTAAGGCATCGGCGTGCTAGGACCTAGTTTCCGCTCGTGGCAGAATTACCCTTTCAATTGAGCACTGGAGTGCGAAGATGCAATCTACATGACAAATTTCGACATCCTCTAGTGTGGTCCCTTATCCATAAAGCATCATAAAATGTATCGGGGGTGTTCAGAACAAAGGAACGCTTTCCAGGACAGCTATTTCTTTTGTCTTCAAAACAGTTTTTCAGTGCAATGAAAATGGAAAAGCTCTTCACCTGAAATTGTGACGCATACTTTGCATTGTCGTTTCGTGCCAAGTCCTCACAGTAGCCATAGAACAGTTCAACAGGAATATCGTCGCATGTTGTCGAATCTGAAGCAGTATTCAATGGTACCCTACTACAAGTAACTGTTCAGTATCTACTGAAAACACGGTCCAAGACCCTCGAAGAAGAAAGAGCCTCGGCTTTCTGCTCTCAGTGTTCTAGCTTTTTGGTGTGGAACCGAGCTCCATCGCAGTGCAAAAAACAGTCTCAGGGAGAAGAGAGGACGAGATTCACACCGGAAAAACCGAGGCCCGAAACACAAAAAGCTCAATGAATTTAATTTCATACAGCTGTGTCCATAGGCAATAGTAGCTCTGGCTGCGCCTTTGGGAAGAAGAAAATCCAGCTAACGGCCTCCAAACTGGGAAATAAATTTTGTTTTGCAAGACAAATGTTGTACTGTTTCCGAAATTGTACTGTTCTCTTGGTCTAGCATGTGGCTAGCATATTGTTATAATATTTACAGTAGAGAGGTATACTGACGCTACTGGACAGAAAAATGCAACCCGGTTTCAAAACTTTTGCTTATCCTGGAAAATAAGTTTTCCTTTTTGGTCCTGCACAGTTTTGGTTAACGATGTGGGATAGCAATTAATTGAGACGATGGCTTTCAGATTTTTCAACTTTGACCTGCATTCGAAGCAAAAATGAATAAAGGGGGAGAGGTTTACATGTCCGCACTGAATAGCCCGAATCTCAGGTGGAAAAACATTTCAAGACGAACCATAGACGAGAGGGCTGAGCTCCTCGAGGTAGACACATTTCTCTTTCTTCTTGATCAGCATTTTTAAATCAAGACAGCGACTGAAATGGAAATGATTATGTTTGAAACATCCTAACCACTTCGGTTGACCAACCCTTTCAAGGAGTAGATGATCAGGAAGCAAAGCACGACGAACAGCACCAAAGCCGAGATGGCCACCAACATCGAAAATCGAGGCGGATTTGTGTTCTGAAATTTCTCATTAATAAAATATTTAATTAGATTGGGATTTATTTAATTAGAATCAAAGTGTATAGAGGACCTATTTAAAGCTTTTTTCCTCAACGATTAGGAAGAGTGACATTAATAATTAGCGCAAAAATTCCTACATGAATGTGATTTGTAACGCAATAAAATGGTTACCAGCGGACTCGTATGGTTCCGCAGACTGCTACCAATGCAGCAAGTTTTCAAGGGAAGCCTGAAGTCTGTCGGGGCGCATTTCGGTTACGGGGGAGGACATTTTGCACTTTGCTACTTCCCATCGACGTGTCGACCCATCTAGGGAGCCTTTTCGTGAGTTGACAGGTTTCACCATTGTGGCTCGATGAGCTTGCTCCAGCTTCACAGGAGTTCACAGGTTTCATCAGGTAAAGTATGAAAACCGGAACTAGTAAGCAATGTGAGTGCAAAATGCCCTTTGTCGCCGTCTGTCAGCCATAGTCAACGTGCGCTTGAGAAAGGGACTTCTTTGGTCATACAAACGCAGCTTATGTACAGCCGTGATTCATGCAAACGATAGGGCGTGTGATGTGGCGCGCACTGCAGTGCAGACATGGCTCTCTTTTCCCATCACCAACTACACCAATGATGTCATCCAAAGCCTGATACAGCTGATGGGAAATTGACCTGGCTGCACTCCAAGGCATGCCCCTGTCAGACGCTCAATCTCTGAGGGATCCTGGGATGACTCTACTAGCTGCAGCGCAGTTCTCGTGACGCGACACCAATGATCAGTCATCGAGTCATCTTTGCTGGCTAGAACTCGTTTCTGTCACTTTTCACCTGGCCACTCCTGAACAAGAATCCATGATCATATCCACCCCTTTTCGGGATGCTTCAAAAATTGCCGAGACGCACAGTGGGAGGGGGGGGGAAATGGGCGAATAACGGTATTCGAAAACGCTGCAAACAGGGAGCCCTTCGCTGTTGAGGATTCAAACCAATTTCGGAAGAGCCGTAGACATCCTTGCCAATAACCGCTACTGAAGATACGGCTGCATGTGTGTATCATATATCCATGCAGCATCACGCCGCTTCATACCAATCCCTTCGCTTCATAATTTGCTTAGCAAATGAATGAATACGAGCGTCAGGAACGGTCGTCCATTTGTGGGCGGGCGGGCGCGGTGGGCGTTCTGGTCGGTATGTTGTAGCTTGATAGGGCCTGACAAGGGTACCTTCCTTGGAATGGCGCTACACAGCGCCTGCTCAGGATCGCAGGAATTCCGTCCTGCCAGGCGTATTAATCCTACTCGTCTTAGGGATTTATCGTGCCAACTGCCTTTAAGGTATCTACTCAACACCAAGCACACTACGGGCCGGTTTTCACGATTTTCGATTCCTGCTCGTTTCTGAGGCAGTGCTTCCCTACAGCTTAAGCGTTTTCGACAGCAATTAGCCATGGAAATCCTGCAACTCCACAAGGAGGCAAAGTTTTCGCGAGACCTCTCATTGATGATTAACGCGAAGAAGAATAAAGTTCAGTTGCTGCTTGGACATCAGGAAGCACATCACCTGAGAATTTCAATCGGATAAAAGAAAGATGCTAAGTAATACTCACATCTCTCAAGCTCATGCATTTGCTATTTGGGGAACAAATGGAAGATTGATATGAGCACTGATCTGAAGTAAGGATACATTCAAAGGCTTGAACTCGAGCAATTCGAAAGGTGCCTTCAAAACTTACGACTGAGAACAAATCGCTGTTCAGAGCCCCAAGGTCCCTTGAGTGTGATCCGACTGTCTACGATACTTCGTACTGTGCACTTTACCCTCACCTTGTACTCATCATGAAGAGCCAGATCGATCACGTCGAGCTGAAATCACTTATCGAATCGAATATAGCTTTTTGAATTCTGGAGCTTATTGGCGCTGTTCGTGGGGAGGAAGGGGGGGGGGGTGAACATCAGCACGACGCGAATGTTTTTGCTTGCAGTCAGCACTACAACGCTGAGGACGAAAGAATGTGAAATGAGGGTAAAGAATTAAAGACGAGTTCAGCTTGGTGGGGGCATTTTGCTAGTTCCCATCGATCACTGCCGACGCTCTTGTAGAGGCCTGTTGAGCCCTGTAAATCCATGCACTAGAATGAGATCCGTTTATACTCGACAAGAGTCTGCAAGTCTTACCAAAATGTGGCGTGTTGTTCAACAGGGATTAGCAAAAGGAAGTAGTGGAAGTGCAAAATGCCCCTCCCAAGCCGAACAGCACCGAATTATATGACCAGCGTTAATAATCACCTTTGAAACAGTCGAGTTGAATCTTAATGTGTTAGTTTCATTAGTAATTTCCGCTTCGCAGGTCTGGCCAGTATTGGAGTTCCACTGCAGGGTGATTCCATTTTTGCAGTCGAACGTCAGTGAAGAGATCTCTGGTGCTGCTGGCACTAGAACAGCTGCAGTTATTCATGAAACAGTAAAGGGAACAATGAATCTCTATGGCTAATAATAGACACTCCAAATGGAAGTTGAGCGCACGGCACGGCATGGCGTGATTTTCCTGCAGTCGCACATTGCTTTGCAAGTATCTTTGCCAAGGTATAAATAATAAGATTTCGATAAGATTTTATATAGTATTTTGATTGCTACAATCCTTAATACACTTTTCTTATCCAAGTTTTAGAGGGGATGACTCAAGAAAGTAGCTTAGTTTCCGTTTCGCACGTGCCCTTAGATGGCCCTATAGCCTTGATCGGTCACCTTTTAAGAGTAATCACGCGAATAACTAGAAGTCTGTATTATATTCGGTGACGTCACAAAACAAGTAATTAACGTGTTTTCTGACGTCTGTCCCCAACAGACAACTAGATGACGTCTTTAGGCTGTATCAAGCTTGCGTTGCATCTTCCCTATGCAAGGCGTTCAAAGGTAAAACTGTTCAAAAAGTTGTTAGGAAATGGCGACTCTTTCAGATATTCAAATTAGTGCAAGCAGTTAGCAAATGAAGAAGGCTTGCGAATAAGTGAGTAGTTACTGGAAAACGAGGTGCTCTAGAAACAGCCCTACCTGGAACATCAGTAATTGCCATGTATTCGGCACTTCGTTGCCCTTCTCCTTTTGTGCTAGATGCCGACAGTCGAAAATGGTATTTTGTTGACGGCTCTGAAGGGTAGGAACTTAAAAACTAAACGGAATCAAACTCTTATTGAGACCCTCTGCCTTGATCATCTGTAAGCAATCATCCGGACCGATATTGCTCCGGAGAATAATTGAATGTGTTGCATGCACACCCGTTTCAAACCCGTAAAGTTGTGTAGCAGCGAAGCCCCGAGGGAGTTCACTCACCGAGTCCACTCAGCTCGAATTTATATGAGGTCTGCTCGGGTCGGGTGACACTTAGGTGATCGACTTTCCACTTCACATGCCCGTGCACCTGCAATTAAGCACACTTTAGTCAAGGTGAGAAAGCGAAACCTTCATATGGAAATTGCTCAAGGAGCTGAAAGATGATGATAGACTAAGAAACAGAGCTATGGAGGATACAGGAAAGCGGAATTCAGCAGCCTCTCTGTTTTTCTCACGTGAGAGACACTCATAGCATCAGCATTGGTGCTTTTGTTGGAATCAGATCAGTTACTAAAGGCAGTTGGCACGATAAATCCCTAAGACGAGTAGGATTAATACGCCTGGCAGGACGGAATTCCGCGACCCTGAGCAGGCGCTGCGTAGCGCCTTTTCCAAGAAAGGTACCCTTATAGGGCCCTATCAAGCTACAACATACCGACCCGAACGCCCACCACGCCCGCCCGCCCACAAATGGACGACCGTACCCGATGCTTCTATTGTCATTTGCTAGGTAAAATATGAAGCGAAGGGATCGGTATGAAGCGGGCGCGGTGCTGCATTTATGTATGAATACATACGTGAAGATGCACCTGCTGTAGCGGTCATTGGCAACATGCCTACGGGGAACTCGTCCAAAATTGATTTTGGGTCATTAAGAACGAAGAGATTTCTCCGCAGGTATTTGACCATTTCACTTCGTTTTTTCGCCACTTTACCACATAGCACCGCTGCTACATTTTAGACCGAGTACCAAATTATCGTGCCAGCTGCCTTTGGATGGTATTCTTAAAAGAAGACCCGCGATCATTCCCCATCACATACAGTGGATTCGAGCTTTGCATGCAGACAACAAAGTTCAGAGTGACCCGACAGCAGAAAAAAAAAGCAGAAAAAACATGCAAATTGTCCTGCATAGAACCCCAACCCGATCCCAGTTTGTACGTGCCCAATCAACTCCATCTCCAACATTACGCCTTCAGAAGGGTAAATGAGCCCAGATGCGTTACTTAATCCCTCCGCGATCGCTTGTTATCACAGATAGGATTAGAGATTTACATATAGACGAAAAGGTGCTGAGTAATTCGATAGCGAAGAAAAAAAGCAAAGAAGACATGCCAAATGCCCTAAATAGAACCCCGTTTCGATCTCAGTTTGTTCATGCCTAATCAACTCCATCTCCAACATTACGCCTAAACTCTACGACCGCACAAGTGACTATCTTCATGCTTTGCGTCCTGCAGCCTCGTTTTTCTCTGAAGGGCAGCCCTTGGAGGCGCGTCTGGAGGCAAAGCCACTGGAAAAAAGGAGGCGTCAATAAACCTATCTTGCGTTGTAGCCCCCTCCCTTACACTTTTCTGCCGCAAAACCGGTACAGGGTTGTTCGACGCGGACCACACTATCCTCCCGACGCCATATTTTCAGCTTTATTTTCAACTAATCACCAAATCGGCATCGCGTGCCTTTTGAGCTGCGGCAAGAAACGTCTTCGGAACGGCTGTCACAACTGCGTGTGAGACTTCTCAAATCTCCCGTGTACAGCTCGGAAAACCCATGCTATTTGCCCTCCGATACCACAATGCCCCAATACAGTCAACATGCATATCCATACTTACAGTCCACATAGATGCATTATTAGCCTGGCGACAGCATGAACGTGAACTTAATAGGGGGCAGCGGCGATCTGCGGGCAGCTGCCGTTGAGGCAAATTGTTCTAAGGGATGCATCGACATCCTGACACTGCGTTTACCTGCCTCCCCGACAAGCCTTTTTTGCACATATCGATGCTTTGACGGCCGTTAAACTCTGCTCATCCTGGTACATGCCCATCAAAGGGGAACCCGGAATTCCAGAACTCGTCAGCGGTCTAAAATCAGGGCGCGTCGCGTCCACCAAGGGAATCATAGATCAGGTGGGCTCGGGCACTCGTGGATGAAGATGACCGCTGGACAAGAGTGAGGAGCGACGCAACCAACGTAGATCACGACCGACACAACCGAAAGGGATGAAAGGCTTCGATCATCGAGCTGAGTGATTGCGCTGGACAAGTTCGCCTCGCAACAGGGACAATTGGAGGTGTTACAGGCGCACGCTCGAGGAGTTCAAAGAGAAGACAGGGGACGCAGGTGATGCAGGTATTTGAGAGGAAATTTGCCCCCCCTCCCTAACCCATACGCTGACGTCTTGAAAAAACCAAAAGTTTGTGTTGTATTAGGCTAACACATTTAGGTGCGTGTCTTGTCGTCATTTCCCCATGGATACTAATGACCTATTTATCTTGTAGCTGTCGGTTATATTTAGGCCCCCCTTAGTTGGTATTTCTGGTTGTAATGGTTATTCCCGCAGAAGGTTGGGCTGAGTATCATAAAGTATCAAACAGTATACAATATGCTGTTGAATATGGTGGTGGAAATGTCCAATCAGTATTTGATTAAGTGTGACGGTCAAGGAAATGTATTTTTTCGCCCCCCACCCTGTATATCCATAGTGGATGTCGCGACTCTCGCACCTCTATGCCATTCTCGGTTGAGGACCTAATAAAAAGGCCTATTCCGTGCCTCCACTATGATCCTGTCCGCTAAGGGAACTTCCACTGGAAATTAAAGGCAATATAGCTCTCACGTCCTACGAATGCCTTCTGCATGCATAAGGCACACTCTCTCTTCTAAAAAATTGGCCGTTGAACGAAACGATCTTGTGGAACGATTACCAGTGGCTGTAAGATATGGCTGTCAGACCAATGAGTCTGGGCTGGCTGACATGGCAATAGTGATAGAATGGCCTAGACAGCAAGACAGAATCGCGCGTCATGTGGAGAAATACATTAGCCCACTGCACGCTTGGATGAAGGATTAAAGAGAAACTTTCCTATTTTCAGACTTATTTCGGCCTCAAGATCGGAAACAATGCGGACATACGGGGGGAATTTTTTCCACACTCATAACCATGTCTTCAGGTCGTTTTGCATCAGCGCTATATTTGCCCTCATCCAAGGGGTGCTATATTTGCGTCGTCAGAATGAATGAATAATTAAATAAATTGAGCGGAAAAAGGGAACAAATAGATAACAGGAACTTAACCAATTCAAAAGTGAAGAAAACAAATGGAAATTGTGTCACCTTGTGATAAAGGTGATATTGCGTGATGTGACCGGCCGTGGAATTTGGTCTTCTCCAAGATACAGTCATTGTAGGTGTTCCGACTCCTGGACTCAACTGGATATGTGTTGGGGCACCAGATGGCACTTAAAAGATGAGATTGAAATGGAGACAACTAATAAATGATTCAATCAGCAAATGTGTAAAAAATAAGCTGTAGGGAAGTGAGCATTATAGGTACCGCTTTCATCAGTGAAGAAGACTTGTCGAGCTGGTGGCGACCTGCCGAAACCGTTGTCAGCTTCCATTGACAGAGCATAAGCGGACCGAGCATGAAGGCGGCAGACCGTGTACGGACTGCTCTCGTTTGCAGGAAAACTGAATATTCATGTGCTTTTTTGAAGAGGAGGGGACTGTAAAAATCGAAAGATCTTCGCGTTACTATCGCTTTTGCGAATTCCTGCTGCTGTCATTCCCCTACCCATTCCCCTACGTCTTCCAAAAAAAGTCCCAACAAAAACCTCTACACGTGTTGAAGCAAATTCCATTCACTCATTTTCTGGATTATTAGCGCCATGATAGGCACTACGACGTGTTCAGTAGTTCTTCTTCTTATTCTACAGGACTCTTAATGCTATGAGATCTGTCGAGGGATCGGCTTTATAAGTGGGGAGCAAGGGTTTCGGCTCATAAAATTGATGCCAAAGAGTGACGGCTTATCGAAGTGGCGAAGTAATAATTACTTTTTTGGTTGGAAAATAAGAAAGCTACTGTGAACTACAGTTACCGAGTCTTGATGACAACGACTCAATTGTTCGAATTTTAGCCACTCCAATAAAAATTCCAGCTGGTGACCTAGAACGGCAGAAAAAACAAACAGACTACTTTTAAAACTTCGAAAATTTTTTGTGTGAATTTGTCCTGTTGCTGCAAAGACTGCGATGTGTGAATGAAAACAATTCTGGAAAGCTGAATGCATCGAAGGCAGTATGAGTCCAGGTGTTTTCAAGGAGCCCAACATAACAATTTCATAGCACAGTAACCTTTAAAAAATTCTTCAAAAACTGAAAGCATTGGACTGCATGAAACAACGTTGAAGAGCAAAAATGTTGGAAAACGACGTTAGTCACTACGATAAGAGGAAACAGCGACTCATGTAGGAAACGTTCCTTTTCCTTCTCCTTTCCAAGGGGGTAGCAAGAAAAGCAGCTCGTGTGAAAATTTCGCACTAATATTTTTATAGGTGCAATATAAGGACAATACATAGCGCCTTCATCTTATGGTCATCTGTCAATGCGAACACGTAACGCGATGTCAAGTGCACGGCGGATCAGAAGAGATGCGATTGTTTGGAAATGTGGCGAGTTCAACCTAAAGGGTACCCTTCCGTATGCAGTGAGCCAGCTCAAGTCCTGGCTCGATGACATATTCTGCAAGGACTCAAAAAAGGGTTTCGGTTAGTCATTCACTTCAGTTTACTGCTTACTTCTGAACCTTACGACGATGAAAACCTGAAAGCCGCTACAATTACAGGTCTGCCGAGTGCCGCGATAACTGCCGACAACAAATGGAGTTTATCAGAAAAACAAGATAATAGAATTCAAATCGAAAAGAAAGCAAAGAAAAGCAGACGATTAGAGCTTTGAGCGTGACTTACAATTCTCTTCTCGGTTCGCTGTCGTCGAGGCGTTGGAAGAGCAGATGGTAACCAACCAAATCGCCATGCATATCCGCTGGTGGTTCTACGGCAATGGAAACGCAGCCCACAGTAGTGTTCCGAATCGCCAGTACCAAGGGTGGAGAGGTTGGAGCTGAAAGTGCCGCATATGGGTAATATTTGATACGAGGAAAATTTTTTTGTATTGTACTGTCTCGGAGAACCATTAGAATCTAAATGTGAAAACATGAAAATTTTATAGTACTTCTTGCTCGAGTAGAGTTCTACGTGCTATCCTGCGGAAGTCGTTATTCAAGAAATTGTGCATGTGAAGTCGTGCATTGCGAAGCCTTACGTTGACCGTGAATGAATGAATGGTCGCTTTTGACCCTTGACTGGCCTACTCGTCAAAATTCAGCTGAACTCTCCGTCTGGAGAGATAATGTGAACTGCAACGAACAACCCTGTATAAGTTTCCAGAAAGTGGTAGGGTAGGCACTACGGCGCAGGGTTACTCAGCCCAACTTGACAAATGTCTTATCTACGTTCTCCTTCGTTTGCATGCTCTCTCGCCGTGTTCTTTGGCCTCTCTCCCGATATCCACGCAGATTGCTTGTCTTTCGCAGGCATTCATAAATAGGGCCTTATCATCTTGACGGTTTCCTATCCTTTCTTCTTCATGATGAAGTCAAGTAACACACACAGTCCGTCTTCAAATCCCGCTACCTACAAACTTTTCGCTGGCTCGTCGCGATGTCTCCTTTTAAGGGGTCAAACTTCCCTTCGTGTCAAGTTCCGAGTATATTTGGTGGGTTGAGTGTTTTGGTGTCGGCGTCTGAGGAAGGCGTGCGGTTTTCAGGCAAGAGGGTGCCATGCTAGTGTCCAACTATCACATCCCATAAAGGGCAAAATTCCTGCCTGCTGTACCAACGGGATATCGATCTAAATCTGGAATCAATTTCAACGGACCAGTGAAGGATGAGTATGAAGCCTATGAAAATTTTCCTTCTGCACTTTTATCCTTCTCACCGAAACGGAAAAAAACCGAGTTGTACTCACTGCTGACTTCATCTGCACTTTTACTGAACTCGGTTCATATTTCACCCCGCAACAGTGAACGCACCTTCTCCGAGTGTTCGAAAACGTGTCTCGGGCCCAAATGGACTATGTCCGGCGGCATTTTCAGCCCTAACGGCGAAGGCGTAAAGAGTATGGGGTGAGAGGTTGTCGACAATCACGGTAGTGGCGTTTGATGGAGCCGGAATCACAAATCGCGAGTCGTCGTCAACCGTTCTAAATGAAGGTGAATGAGAATCAGATATTCTGGCAAATTTCTTACCAAAGTGAAAACTTTTCTCACCGGACTACAACTGAGAAGCGGAGGATAGGACGATGAGCCTTGGCGGTGTTGTGATTCCAAACCAGAGTAACAGATCGGTTCGAGAAGGCCTTCACGTCAGGACTGGAAGGGGCCACTGGTCGCACTGAAAACATTCAACAGTTCACTCTCAATTTTAGCACTGAATAAAAATTGTTTTTTGACTCGAACTCGATGTAGTCTATTTCATAGGCCATTTCAGATGAGATCCACGTGAACCCAAAAATATGACACCTTGAACACGGTCTTGAAGTTTTCTGCTAAAATGTTTCATTAGAAAAACACTTCCACAAGTCTCCATTACGAATGATCTACTACCGTTTATGGAACATTGCGAATTGCATACATGATAAGCGAACACGTGCGTCCTGATAAAGGAGAGTAACACTCATTCGCTTATTCATTTACTAACGTACTAACTACTAACCTGTTGTGGTGGAACACGGTGAGCTTATTTTTCAACTTTTGGGTATTTTTGCATAATCCTGAGATGACGTCAGAAATGCTAGAAGGGACAAGGCGTTTGGTGGGATAGCGTGCAATTCTCAAGCTTTGAGCCATGTTTAGGCCTTTGACGACGACGAACAGGTCGAAACGTTGGCCGAATAAAGTGTTGCCACCTACAAACCTCGTTGGCAAAACAGAAGAACAAAACATCGTTGACAATGCCGAGGTTTCAAGATGAGAGGAGTTGGAATCTACTTCCACAAGTAGTTGAACGACTTGAACTTCTCTCTACTTTCTTATCAAGCTATGAACCACCAGATAAGCTTCGGACAAACCCCACACAACGCACAAGAATGCTCGAAGCTTGCCAGGTTTCAGCGGGTAATGCTGCTGGCCCTTTTAGGGATACCCCATTCTCTCTGTCCATGTCATCACAAGCACAGGGATTTAATGAAGCTTTGGAATTTGTTCACCAGAACTCACTTAAATGAATTTTGTAGTGGAATTCTTCAGATCTATCCAGATTCTATTTTTTTCAGATACAGCTGCGGGAAAAAAACTTGGAACAGGTCACAAAATCGCTTTTTAAACAGCTCTGAAGCTGTTATTCAACAAAAATACAGTAGGAATGTGAGCAAATAGTGGGAAATCACCAAGAAGAAAAAACTATTTAGCACTTTGAATGTGGTTTGCTTACTAATGGATGATTGGAGCCTTCATCATCCGTGGAATCGACCCCACAGATGCTTCGGTGGTATCCACGGATATTCGCCTACTCAAAATTCCTTAAGGTGCCTTGAAGTGCTCACCCGTGTTGATGGTCTTCGTTCCTTTGACTCATGCTTCAAATCATCTCGACGATGCCTGATAGGGTTGGGGATTGGCATTCGGTTATTTTGCCATCGATGTGGCTTATTTCCGCGAACTTCCGGAAGATTTCACTACTTCCGTGTTTGTATAGGATCGGCTTTACTGATCGAGATCAGAACTTCCATGCATATTTTTTATCTGTATTTGCCAACAGTTCGGTACACAAGTAAGAAGATCGAGTAGCATTTGATAGAAAATTCTGAATTCTTGGCTTGCTCCAAGTTTTTTTTCCGCAGCTGTGTTTATTTACTGAATTCTATTCGGATTGTCGTTCTTATCTTGTTTATTATAATGAAAGCGGGATTTCAGGATCCAGTGGCAGAGCGGGTGGTAATAGGCTAGAGCATAAATAGATTTGCCATGTGAGGCACTTTATTAATAAGTTGCCTTGGAATAGACTGGGCGACACGCTCATTTCATAATTGAGTTCGAGCTCGTTATTCAATGTGCCAAAACAGAACTCTCGTGACGTTTCTACATTTACACTACGTGATGAGATAGGTTGACCAGGGTTAAAGCAATTTTCACAGGAAAATGAATTTGACTTTTTTCACTTGTGTCAGGAGAGCAAATCAGTTGCAACCTTATCGCATTGTAACGATCTGGTTTGAAATTATACCTTCACAACACTGTATACCTAACAATCGCTCCTTTTCGTGTATAACGCTAGATGCGGAAAAAATTCTCGCTGGGAGAAGAAGGTGGGCGTTTAAGGGTAATTTGGAAGACGTGCACGCCATATCCCGAAAATGGTAAAGTCATAGCTGCGTACTGCACTTGAACACGGCAAACGATGCGCTTCATGTGGGATATCTCTTTTGAGACAATTGTCATTCTCTCTTGTGTGGGCAAAAATGTGGCGCACTGGCTGCCATGCTTAAGAATGGTATAAGCGGTCAAGCTCTCCTCCTCTTCCGGGATATCGAGTGTACTGTCGATGGTTCGCTTCCAAAACTTCAGAAGGAGTAGTTTGGCTTGGTAGGGGCACCAAATGCCACTCAAAGAAATTTGAACAGGTCACAGTGTGAAGACCCTCAACTCCTGTGACCATGTATGTTAACCATAAGTGGCTCACTGTAACACGTTCGCGTAGAGCTGTGTAGGAGTGTCTGCAGGTCATAAAGTAAGAGGATTCCTATGCAAAGAGAACCAGCGTAAGTGCAGATAGCTACCCCCCCCTCTTTTAAGCCGGACAGCGAACTTCCGGAAGCTGCAGATTCATGGGGAATCTAGGCAAAGAGAGGTTCTGTGGACGCTGTGTGAACAAAAAATCCGACATCTGGAACAGAATCAGCGAATTCGAGAGCCTTCACATTACAGACTCTGAACCAGGGCACATCATTACTTGAAGATTTTGATCGAGTCGTATGACCCCCCCACTCTTTTCTGAGGGGTTTCGTGCGACCCACTCCTAGCTCCCTCCTTTGAGCTGTCGAGCGGAAGGGGGGGGGGAGATTTCGCGAAAAACCTCTCATTTTTACCCAAAATTTTTGGGGTGGGGGAATTATATATAGTACATCTAAGCAGGAAAATTTCGAAAAGTCTACAAGTCAGGATGGAAATACGACTCCCGCCCCCACCGGCGAGCAAATGGGCCACCTCTCTTCACAATGTCCCTGAAACAACAAAAATCAACTATCAGAAAAATTTTCCTCAGCCCAAATACCACCCCTCTCACAGCGACTCCTTTTGGGGTGTTAGGGAATCCCCAACAACGACGTGCCCTGCTCCGAACTATCAAATTTTTGCATTGCAGGTAAGTTCCCTCTTTGCGAGCTAACAATTATTGGTCGTCATCAGTAATAATTAGTGCTATTGTAATCGATCAAATCTGTAACCACGTCAATCCCTACCTTGATACCGGATGATGGTTTGAAATAAGGTTCCGAACACTCTTCCGTGCATCAAGT